CAAATAATTATTATTATATTTTATTCACGTAGAAAAAAAATGGAAGAAGCCTTATTATTAAAAAAAAAAAATTCTTAATTCTTTTTTATAAGCGCAACTTATGAGTTTTGGTTTAACGCAAAGCCACGTTTCGGCTTGATGGAAAATGGAAAAAAAAGAAAGAAAAAAAAGAAAAATACAGAACGCTTACGTGCTAAAATCTCCTCCGTTCTCGTCGGACAAACTCTGAAAACTTTAGCAAAGTAATTCTAGGAGAGTCGGCTTATTGCCTTATATATATATATATATATATACATGCATACATGCATACATATACAATATATATATACCTATTTTATTTTTTTTTGTGTTTTCTTCTTTACCTTTCCACAGTTTCGTTGTTTCGGTTTTTTTTACCTTCTCTATCTTCCCGTCCCCCTTACTCTTTCTCATTTTTTTGGAAAGTAGAGAAAAAAAAATATTTCGTTGCACGCGATGGATTGAAAACAACTGGAGAAACGAAACGTACTAAAAAAAGAAAAAAAAAGATTAAAAATAAAAATCTTTTTTCTTTTTCGTTTTGTTTTTTTCCCCCCTGTTAGTAACAGGTCACGCGAAAGCAGATAACGCGCCGAAACATACGAAACATCCCCAAAATAAAAAAAAAATATATTTTTCTGTATATATATATGTATATGTATATATAAGTACGTTTATATGTATTCGTATCATGTATATTAAATGGACATGATTTCAACAGAAAACACCTGGACAATTTTTTGTAGAGAGCACGATTAAAGTTTTCTATTTTTGTTTTTCACATTGTTTTATATTTTTTTTTTCAGTCATGGTACGATTACAAATTAAAATGGGATCCGAAGGAATACGGCGGAGTGGAAATGTTGCACGTGCCATCCGATCATATATGGAGACCCGATATAGTTTTATACAACAAGTAAGCTTTTTTACAGATATTTTTCTTTTTCTTATTTATATAAAAAAATAAGAAAATATTTTTTATCATCGATATATTTAAAAATATATACGAATTTATTTATTATTTTACGTCTACTATGCAAATTATTGTATTACATTGATTAATTTTATTTTTTATTATATCAAAGGAATAATTTCATTCAAAAATGTATATTTTAATTGTTTATATATTTTAAGTGCCGACGGTAATTTCGAAGTAACATTGGCCACCAAGGCAACGTTAAATTACACAGGAAGAGTCGAATGGAAACCACCGGCGATTTACAAGTCTTCCTGCGAGATTGACGTTGAATATTTTCCTTTCGACGAACAAACCTGCGTTATGAAATTTGGATCGTGGACCTACGATGGTTTCCAGGTAAGAAATAATCAATTACAATTGAAAATTCTTATTATTTTTCTTCCCATTTTTTGTTTTACAATTTATCAACTGTTCAACTAACGACGTTAATGCAAAATGTACGTTTAAACATTTGGTATAATATAAACAAAAGCAACTATTGTTAGTAAAATTTTTATGAATAAAATAATAATACATTAGCATTGTTATTAAATTAAAACAAAAATAAAAAGAAGTAATAATAAATAAGAAAATTTCAATCATATTGTTTGAAACGAATTACACAAATATTTATTGTATTCATAGAGAATCTATTTGTTAATATATTGTAAAAACAAATTCTCTTATTTTTTCTTTAACTTTCTCTCTATTTTTTCATCTTCCTTCTAATGGAACAATATTTCATATATATATATTTTTTATGTTGGTTTATATCACCATCGAGATTTTTTGTTTTTACCTATACGAGGATAACGAGAGGCGAATAAATATGATGAACGCGTAACAAATGGACTCTTGGACATCACAACGAGGAGAGAGAGAGAGAGAGAGAGAGATATTAATCGCTTGAAAATCGATTTTCCTCGTTTGCTCGTTGTGTTGTCATTATTCGTGGCCACGAAGTAGGTGATTTGCGAATAACGATAAGTGAACAGAGAGACGGAGAGAGAGAGAGAGAGAAAGAGAGAAGAGAACAAAAAGAGAGAGAAATTTATTTTCTAAAATGATCTCGTTTTAGTTATAAGCTTCATCGTACAATATATAAATACTGCTTAATCTTCAATTACATATTTCAAATAAATATATTACATTTCTATATATACATATATATACTAGAATTCTTAAGTCATGCGTTGTTGTGGTTTTGTTATAAAATATTGATTTAATATAATTCTAAACTTAGAAACTTTTAGTATTTAGTAATATTTATTAATTAATAATTATATTTTTTATATATTAATTTTAAATTATATATTTTATATTAATTAATTTATTATTATTTAATAATAAACTATTTAGTAAATTATAACAACACACCAAATAATATCATAATTAAAAAAGAATACTCGAAAAAATATTAAAAGCAAAATTATGTCATATGAAAATCTGAAAAAAAAAACATGAAATAATTGAATTGTAATACAACACCATCTATTGAAAACTTACAGAACTTAGAAACTTAGGTAATCTTAAAATAATAAATCCTTAAATTATCGATAAAAAATATAAAATAAACGCGAGAAAAACTATCCTATGGTACTAGTTTGACTTTGTCAAAATATTTCCACAATATATCACGTAAAATCATTACCAACCCCCTCTATATATACCAAAAAAAAACCCCAAAAAATAGAGAATAAAATAAAAGGTGGGTGATATAGATAGTAAATTTGAATATTGGATAGAACACTAGATTTTAATATTACGTCGTTCAACGTTCGTTGTTGTTCACTGACGCTGTATTTACGTTTCCCCCTCCCACCCCTTTCTCTACCTTTGCATTGCATAATACTCACACCGAAGTTATATACAAGCAGGTTATGTAAAACTGGCGAGAATTTGAATATTCGAATGGTCAATCTTCCTGAGCATTCTAATATTCTCTCCTATCGAGAGAAAGAGAGACAGATAGACAGACAGACAGACAAACAAACAGAGACAGAAGAGGCATCGAGTAACGCTGATTGATAGCTTCTCCGATGCATATTGTATATCGTATATCAGGCTATTTCAATATCCTAGACAATTGTCCTCTCTCTCTCTCTTCTTCCCCCACCCCTTATATTTCTCTCTCTCTCACTTTCTATCTTCGTTTCTCGGACGACAATCGACAAGGACGGTTTCTCCAATGTGGTTTAACCGAGAATCTCTCTCTCTCTCTCCCTTTCTCTCTCTATCTGTGTGTGTTTCTCTCTCTCTGGATTGGAATAGAGATAGGAATAGAAAGTAAGAGAGAGTAAGATGGAGAGACAGCTTCGGATTTAACGTGCAGATGGATGCAAATGTCAAAGATATCGAACAGCATTCGGGTTGTTCGAGGAAGATCGATAATATCACGAATGACAATTGTGTACGTGTCGTATTCTTTACTTACATTTATGTGTACCAATCTATTTCCTATTTCCATTTGATTTTTTTTTCAATTAACGATCATCCCCGATTGACACGAATTTAAGATATTATTTTGTTTTTATTTTTTTGTTCATTTTTTACGTCTCGGTTACAAATCAATCTTTTATTTTAAGTATATATATATATATATTAGATTTGATATATAGATTAGATTAATGTAGATATTAATGTGCCCATAATTATAAAGTGGTGTAAGTCAAAATTTAGAACAAAAATTAAATGCAAGTTTATAGGTTATTTCACACTATGTAACTCAAAACACACTAACTACGTAGGTCAAAATTAAAAAAAAAAGATAAATGTAAGTTTATATTGGTTATTTCATACTACGTAAGTTAAAATTTAAAAATTTAGATAAATTTTAAATATTTCAAATTAAATAAATTTAATATATTATACAAATAAAATAAATTTTAAATATTCAATATTTAAATAAAAATTAAATGTAAGTTTATAAATTATTTTACACTAAGTAATTTTAAACTAAATTAATTCAGTATAATTGTAATAATATTTTCAAAAATGAACCTTTAGAAAGTGTTTGTTATTTCAATATTATATAGAATTTATTTATTGTTAATGTTCAAATGGAATCCTTTAATTAAATATTTCAAAACAAGTGATACATGACTTTTATGTGAAAGATTTGTAATAGATAAAATATGTAAATTAGTTAAGTTAATACCTTATCTAGTTTCCTTTCTTTTATTATTATCTTCACTGTTTTAGGTCGATCTCAGACACATCGACGAAATGCGTGGCAGTAACGTCGTCAATATTGGCGTCGATCTGTCGGAATTTTATACTTCCGTCGAGTGGGACATACTCGAAGTTCCGGCTGTTAGGTAACGTTAAAACTTCTAATCTAGTTTAAAACCCATACGTATTAGGGACGATTCTCATTTGAGGGTTTGAGATAATTGATGGTATGGGATTTGAGATGATTTATTTCTTTTAATTAATATTATTAAATTGTACGAAAAGTTTATAACGATTTAATAATACATTATATTTATTACTATTTATTTTAACTTATAAATAGTAATGGATGATATCTTTATTTTTTCTTAATCTAATATATTTAATTTCTATTTTTAAATAGAACCGAGTTTAAGGTTTTTAAATTTAATGTGATTTTAAGTATTTCTTTTATTTTAATTAACCAAATTAATTTATATATGATCACCTAAAAGAAAAAGTATATAAAATAATATTATAATGATAATATTATTATTAAAGTATAATTAAATAATATTAATATACATATATACAAATTAAAATAATATATTATGAATATATTATAAATTATATTAAAAATATTATTATAAATTATTAATAAATTATTATAAATTATTATATTATAAATTATATTATATAAATATAATTAAAATAATATTAATCTTCATTATTAAGAAAAATTTCTTTTCAAAAATCAAAATTTGATCAATAAATACTTTACCATTGAAAATTACAAAAATTTTAGTCATATCATGGTGTTGCAAAAATAAAAAAAAAATAAAAATTTTATCGATATAATAAATATTTTATTATAATAATTTCAAAAGACATCGATATAAAATATGTGATATAAAAATATTATATATATATATAATATTATAGCTAAACGATTGATCGATTAGTTGAATCGAATGAATAACCATGTACCTTCTCTCTTATCTTTTTTTCTTTATTTTTTTTTCTTCCTTTCAGAAACGAGAAATTCTACACGTGCTGCGACGAGCCCTATCTCGATATCACATTTAACATCACGATGAGGCGGAAGACACTCTTCTACACGGTCAACCTCATAATACCATGTATGGGTATATCATTTCTCACGGTACTTGTCTTCTATCTGCCGAGTGACAGCGGTGAAAAGGTAAATTTTTTCTTTTTTCCTTACTTTTAATATTAAATATGAAACTAAAACACAACACTCTTAATATCTTATAATTTTTTTTAATTAAATTTAATCTCCTAACTATCATCCATCGAAGTTCTCTCTCTCCTTTACTCACCTTTAAGTATTTTTATATTATATAAAACCATTTCATAGTAGTCCTTCTCTGTGATATAAGTTAATAGATCGAAAATATTTAAAAAGAAGAGTCCATTATCCTTTTCACGGTCGCTGAAAACTTAAGGGTCCTTGACGTTTATGAAAAAAAAATAAAACTAAAAAAAGAAAAAAAGAAGAGGAAGAAGAAGAAGAAGGAGAATGAGATAAAGAGAGATAGTATTATAGAAATAAAAAGAGAGATAGAGAGAAAGAAATGACGAGATCGATCGACGTAATCGTGAAAGTTTGCCGTTCGAGTTCACCACTTGAGGAACGTCACTTGGTGTGCAACCGTTGATGCGGTTGATGTCGTTGATTCGGTAGGTCGGAAAAGTTAAAGTACCATCACCCAGCGTAACCCCTCATGTCCTCTTTTTTATCCTCTTCTTTCTCTTTCTACATATATATATATATATATATATATATATATATATATATATACACGTATCTATGCATATATGTATGTACGTATCTATGTATGATATATGTATGATGTATGTATGAGAGGGAAAAAGGGGATGAAAGTTTGGGGGAGAGGAGAAGGCGTGTCCCAGTCCTTCTTGGCAGCTAGATGGTTCAAAGAAACCACCTTTAGGAAGAAACTAGATCACGATCGAGCGTGAGTTTCTCTCTCTTTCTCTCATTTTCGTTGTCGTCCGTGAAAACCAAGCCGATCAAGAGACAATCGTAACCAGTCGCGGCCTTTATACCTTCGCGTGGACTCTTGACCTCGAACCAATAACCACTGAGAGTGTCCCCTATGTATAATTCAGTCATATTGTTCGTTGGCTTTTGCCAAAGAAGAAGAAGAAGAAGAAGAAGAAGAAGAAGAAGAAGAAGAAGAAGAAGAAGAAGAAGAAGAAGAAGAAGAAGAAGGAGANCAAAGAAGAAGAAGAAGAAGAAGAAGAAGAAGAAGAAGAAGAAGAAGAAGAAGAAGAAGAAGAAGAAGAAGAAGAAGGAGAAGAAGGAAAAGTAGAAAAAAAAGAAAGAGGAAAAAAAGAAGAAGGTGAAAGGAACGGAAAAGAAGAAGACTCTCTTTCTCTTTCTCTCTGATGGTTTTGGTGGAAGAAGGTCAAATGTTAAAGAAAGAAAGAGAGAGAGAATATTATATAACTATATAGTGAATCCTTGATATTAGAAGTATTTGAGAATGAAAGAGAAAGAGAGAAAGTTGGTGGTTAAGAGAAGAAAAGTACCTCAGACATTGCTAGAAGGTATACCTTAGACATTGAACATTGTCATCTTTAGATCAAAGCGACAACCCTGAAACAATACCTTCTCCTATCGTCCTTCATCCTTCTTCTACCATCCTCAACAGAATAAACACTATCATCTATACGTATATATATACTTATATGTATCTATAACTACATTGAAGAGAACACTGAAATGGCATAGGCGTATGTTTCTACTTAATTACTTTTATATATTATATATTTTATTTATTATTATTATTTTTATTATCAATGAATGATTTCAGATTTTCTATTCTATTTCTGTTTCTATTTAAATATATTTATATATTATATATATTTAATTAATTAATTAAATTATTTAATTATTTAATTATTAATATATTTAAAATAAATTAAATAATTAAAAATAATTTAAAATATATTAATATATTTAAAATTAATAATTATATAAAAAATAATAAAATTATATTGAATATAATAAATAATATATTCAAAATTACATAATCATTTAATTATATATTTAATTATATAATGAAATTAATTATTATTATTATTATTAATGAATGATTTGTAATTTTCTATTCTATTTCTGTTTCTATTTAAATATATTTATATATTATATATATTTAATTAATTAATTAAAGTATTTAATTACATAATTATTTAATATTATATAATTATTAATATATTTAAAATATAATATAATATAATAAATAATATATTTAAAATTATATAATTAATTGATTATTATTATCAAGGAATAATTTGTGATTTTCTATTCTATTTTATTTATAACAAAATTGAAATGAAATTTTTATAAAGAAAAAATTTGTAATAATTTTTTTTAGTTTTTATAGAAATGAAATAATTATACTAAATTTCATATTTGTATTTCTCTTGAATTTTACTTTCAAAAGATTTTATAATAATAAAGAAATAGAAATTATAAAAATAGATTATTATAATATATACTATAATTAGAAATAAAATTATAATAAAGATTTAATAATACTATTATTTTTTTATTGCTTTATCATTTACGATTGTAAAATTTATAATTAAAATAATAATTAATTACATCTCATTTAAGAATAACATTTTAATCATAATATGAAATCTTATTTAAATAAGTAGAAATTTGATCGATAGTTACAATAATCGATAAATCCTATTAAGATAATGTATATATCAATCGTATAAGAATGAGTAATAAATTATTAACGAGTATTTAATCCGAGAAATTCTTTTTCAACGATGCGAATGCGAATATCTCATCATTGGTTTTTCATGGATTGAATTTTTAATAGTATTACCTATTGCCGATGGGAACTTCTCTCTCTCTCTCTTTTTTTCATCCCCCTCCTCTTCGATTATCGTTTGTACCATTCCTTTTTCCTATTCCAAACGTATATTCAGTGGGTTTGGGTGAATCTTCTTGCAAGCCGCATATTCAGTGAACAGAATCGTCTAAAACATACACACACAACAGAAATCTTTCAGTAGTCGACGCCTATGATTGCATGTACATTTGGGGTTACTGGTGACGTCACGACCTTCCCTCATCACCTTCTGAAACGTGACACGGACTCTTAAGTGTATTGGAAAGCGTTCTCATCATTCCTTTGCCTCGTTCTCGAGGGCCTTTCTTCTCCTTATTGTAACAGATTTTTTACTTTGACGAACTATCCTCTGAATTTTCACGAAGTAATCCAATTTCTCTTCTTTTTATTTTATTTTTATTATTATTATTATTATTATTATTATTATTATTATTATTATTATTATTATTAATATTAGTATATAGTTTTCTTTATATTATCTATTATATATCTGTTCTCATTTTTTACGAATTTAATTTTTGTTTTTCATATACCGATTCATTAATTTATTTATTTTTCAATTAATTTAGAAATATAATATTGTTTTTGTTAGAAGATTTTTTTTCAGTAGGAAAAATAATATATTAATTATTAATATATACCATTTTTTATTTTATATTATATTTTATTTTATATTATATTATTTTGTATTTTTTATATTATATTTTATTTCATTTTATATTATATTATTTTGTATTTTATATGTATATATATTATATTTTATTTTATATTATAAATATTAAGAATAATTAAATGTTGTCGTTCAATATTACTTAATACACCCGTTATCCTGTTTTACTTTAAAAAAATTTGACGACGAAGTAAATTAACATACAATATATATTACATTAAATAAAATGCATTTAATTTAAATATTTAATACTCATTAGAGGATTTAAGCAAATTATATTAATGATAAATAAAAAAAAAGAGAAAAGAAAATAAATCTTTCAGAGAATAATAATTCGTAGTAGTTATTACATTGGTAGTCGTAAAATTGGTCGATATTTCGTTTTACGGTATTTGCATTTTTTCTTTACTTTTTTTTTTTATTCAGCGGTTCGATATTCATTAATCAGTCACACGCCGATTATATAATTACGAGATTGAAAAGATCTGACAAGCGTGTTACATTGACGTTTTATTCACGTTGCTGGAAGTTTCGAATGAAAATACATTTATTTGTATGCATATATGCACACAGGTCAGCTTATCCATTTCGATTCTACTATCGTTGACTGTGTTCTTCCTTCTTTTGGCTGAAATCATCCCACCTACGTCACTCGTTGTACCTCTTCTTGGTAAATTCGTCCTTTTCACCATGATCTTAGATACATTCAGGTACATATCTATTTTATTTTATGATAAATAGATTTTATATATTAATATTAAATACAATTACATATAATACTAATATTATATTTAATTTTTTATAACACAATATTTTAATATAATTTTTATTTAGATTAAACTTTTGGAAAACACATCTATATTAAATTATATTTAATAGAACTGTATTAAATTAAATTAAATACACACATAATGCTAATATTATATTTAACTATTTATAATACAATATTAATATAATTTTTATTTATATTAAACTTTTGGAAAACACAACGTAGTAAAAAGAAAAAAAAATAGAATTAACTTTTGCAATCAATTATTTTAATAGAACTCTACGATGCACTTTTTGAAAAGATCAACAATAAATAATAATAATAATAATAAATATTAATTTTATTTTGTTTAATATATATAAACGATTAGAGGTTTGTATTGAAGATCTAAATAAATATTTAAATTAAATAAACATTTCTCTTGTAACTTAAATTTTTTTCAGCATATGCATCACAGTGGTAGTACTCAACGTTCACTTCCGTTCACCACAAACTCACGTGATGGCACCTTGGGTCCGTCGTGTCTTTATCCATGTCTTACCAAGATTACTCGTGATGCGCAGGTATAATACGACTTCGAAGAGAACCGATTACGATTCCAGGCAAGATATATTCCACATTGGAATCATGCCATGATGCATTAAATCGGCATTAGCGTATTGTAGGTGATGACCTTAATGTCATCTTTGTCCATATATAATATACATATATGTATTCATATACCTACATATATTCTAATATCAATATATATATATTATATATTATATAAATATTTTATTAATCATACAAATTTATAATTTTATTATTATAATAATAAATATATAATTATTATATATTCAATATAATTATATTATTTATTTAAATTTAATTAAATTAAAAAATTAAATTATATTTATATATAATATAAATATTTTATTATTAATACAAATTATAATTTTATTATTATCATAATATATNTTATTATCATAATAATACATAATTATATATTTAATATAATTAAATTATTATTAAATTGAATTTAATTAAATTAAAAAATTAAATTATATTTTATATAATTAAATATTAATATTAATTATATAATTATAATAATAATAAAACTATTATTATTATTTAATCTAATATATTAAAATATATAATATATATTATATATTTATTATTTATTAAATATATTTATCTTTAATAGTATAAAGATATTTTTAGAAAAAAAAAAAATATGAATATCTTATAATATAATATATATATATATATACTTAAATACATTAATACATATATGTATAATACACCGTAGAGAGCATGAAAAGATACTATTCGATGGGATTATGTACACCCTTCGGCACATCTTTTTTTCTCCATAATATCACTGGCATTTCCCATGTAGGAACATGAAATATCAAATGTTTGAATATCTTATCTTAGAACGACATTTGGACGCCTTTAAAAATGATGCAAATGCGTTTATATTGTCGGCTTGTATATAAAATGCAATCTCATTGTTAAACGATAGCTTTATTGTAAGACCCTGGCACCGTAGTCATTTTTTATACTTATCGAACATCACCATATTCAAAAAAAAAAAAAAGAAAAAAAACTCAAGTTTAACAAATTCACGATACACAGGTCAATATCTATTTTCTATTTTATCACTTACCGTAGTATCATCAAGCACAAAACGTAATATATTATTTACTTTTTTTTATTATTAATCTTTTTACTGGTAAAGCATGATCTTCATTATATTATAATTGTAAGAATTTTTATGAAAATTGTAGTTATTCAAATTTATTATCTATTTTTTATCTTTCTCGTAATTTTTATTAATAAGATTTAATCCTCATAAATGCTTTATTCAAATATCTCTTAATATATTTATATTCGATTCATTATATCATATTAATAAGAACAGAGTGATCGAAATGATTTAATTTTTCTTTTTTTTTTATTTGTAATATTAATTAAAACCTATTACATATAAAAATGAAAAATATTTTAATAAACGATCACTTTGTACGTTCTCATTCTATTGACATTTTACCGTACGCTATTTATTAATTATTATATAATTATTAAATGTTCAAACGTATGAATATTAAAAACAAAAAATAAGTAATTCACGTGTTTAGTTTATTCAATCGAAATTTCGATTTTCCATTAAACACAAAGCTGGTAAAATGTTAATAATCATTATCAAAGTTTTCCAATTTTTTGGTTGTTCTTGTTGTTTTAAATTTGTTCATTGATTAATTATTTTTTTATTTTGTATGTTTATTTATTTTTTTTTTTTTATATATATAGGCCGCAATATCCTATAGATAAACGTAGTATAAGCGGACAACACGGACAACGGGTGATGGTTAGAACATGCAACGGTCTTGAATTAAGAGATCCGTCTATGTTCGTTGAAACTTCGGCTTCGGAGTTGGTTGAATCCTCTGTTCTCTTTCCAAGTTTAGACTCTCAAGATGAACTACATCCTCGGTAAGAATTTAACAATTTATATAATATTAATTTTGTAACAACACATCATTTAGTTAATTATTTTTTTTTTTTTTAAATATAATTAAGTATTTCCAATTTCTTTTTTTTTTTACTTTGATTAAAAAGTAATTTCTATATTTAATAATTTATCTAAAATAAAGATGATTAAGTAGTTTAAATATTGATACAATTTATATTATAATTTATAATACAATCAATCCTCTATCTCTCTCTTTCTTTTATAATACTGTTAGATCATTTCACGTTCAATGAAAACTTAAGTTAAGCAAAACATAACATAGTGTAAAGGAAATATTTGTCTTATATGAGAGAATTATCCGAAGTTTATTAAATTGTGCCATATGAAAATCGTATTATAAGAGGATTAATCCTGATCGTGTTATAATTTATAATACAAGTTTAAATAGTATTAATTATTTCTTATAAAAAATTTTATACAAAAATTACTCAATTTTTTTCTTATTAACCCTTTGAGTACTGAATACTTTTAACTAAAATGTTTTGTAGGAACGGAATAATTTATTATTAACTATATAAGTATAATATAAATTATATTGTAAATATAATAATAAATTATTATTACTTATATATAATATTATTTTTAAAAATTTATTAACCTAATAACTATACTTAACTAATACTATATTATAGTATATATACTTAATAACTTAACTCTTAACTAATTAAAAGTTAAAATATTATTAACTACATAAATATAATAAATTATATTTTAAATATAATAATAAATTAATAATAAATTATATTTAATATAATTAAAGTTTTTCCTTCTAAATATAATTTAATTAATTAATATAAACATAACATTATTTTACATTAATATTAACAAACACGTATATGCGTCGATAGACCATTTTGATAATTTTTACCAAACACATATCCGTTCATAGCACTCCAAGGGTTAATATTTATAAAAACTGTGTTCTTTTTATTTATTATATAGATTCTATCCTTTCATTTTCGTTTTTTATGTTTTTTTTTTTTATTTTCAGAGAATTAGAAGCGGTAAATCTAGGAAGTGCGTGTCGTATTCACGGTTCACCTGCGACCACCGTGGCACCACCACCTCAGCTACCAACTGAGGAAAGCGTTGATGCTCTTTGCAATACGCTTCATCATTGGCATCACTGCCCAGAATTGTACAAGGCCATTGAAGGCATTCGTTTTATCGCCGAACATACAAAAAGAGAAGAGGACTCTACAAGAGTATGATGATAACCATGAAACCTTTGTCAATTAACCCCTAATCAAATTTAAATATTACCTTTAACAATCTTACGTTAACGTGTAATAATATTTGAAATCATCAAATTTTTGAAGGAAAATTCAAGCTAATCTTTAATCATTTATGTAAATTTTGTTCTACCTATTTAAAAGTTTGATAATTTTCATACTAATTAATCGATAATGTTGCTTCTCAAATACCCATACGTTAAAATATGCAATTTTGTAAAAACCTTGCAATAGTTAACATATGTTTCTAATATATAGGTTCATACAAATTAACAAAATAAAAAAATTTATACCGGCAATTTTCATTGGATAGCAACGTTATTGATTAATCTTAAACTTCAATGGTGATTAATATTCGCAAATAAATTATTATATATATTATTACTATATAAAATAATATTTTATATATATATATATTTATTTATTTATTTATAAATATATACATATATTATATTTATTTATAATTTAATTATAATTATATATTTATTATTATTATATATACATAAATTATTACATAATATTCTTATATAAATTATTCATAAATAATTATGAAAAATCTATGCAGGAACTTAGATTGAATATTAACGAATCACTGGCAAAACAAACTTGCAAACGTGAAAATATAAATAAAAAATAATTAGCATAGAAATGAAAAACTATTTGTTCATTAAATCATTCAAAATAAAAATATATTTAAATAAGTTTAATAATTAAAATCAAGATATTTGTTATTCGTAGGTTAAAGAAGATTGGAAATACGTTGCCATGGTGCTCGATAGGCTATTCCTGTGGATTTTTACATTAGCTGTGGTTGTCGGTACAGCTGGTATAATATTACAAGCACCAACCTTGTACGATGATCGCATCCCTATCGACGTACGACTCTCCGAGATCGCCTCCACCACTGCCAAGCCACACATCGTTCCGACCCTTTGAGAGGGCCAATTGCTAATTTAACCCCTTTAACCCTTTTTGCGTACTCTACGAAACAAATAAAAAAAAAAAGATAAACACACACATACACACATACTTATATTGTAAAACAAAACAACAATGTGTTGTCAGAAGTAACGACTGAAAGACTGAAGTCTCGGTGAGTCTTCGACTTTTATTAAACGATTCATTTCCTTAAAGCTCGTACGTTCAATCGTACATATGTATACATATACATTTCTATGTGTGTGTATATATATGTTCATATATATATTTAAGAGCTTACGTGTACGACGAGCTAACAGGAATAGGAAATAAAGAAAATAATAAAAAGGAAAAAAAATGATTAAAAAAAAATTGAAAAAAAAAAAACAAGTAAAATTATGATAAAATTACAATTTAAAATAAAATAAAATAAAAATAAAAATAAGAAAGCAAAAGTCGCGCGTACCAAGCTTTCGACCCGTGACACAACGAAGATATAGGAAAAAAAAATATATAAAAAAGATAAAAAAAAATACAGGAAGCTTAGAAGAAAAGACGAGAAGGTTGTGAAAAAAAAGGGGGTATGAAAAAGCCGTGCGAAAACTAAAATTCTCAGAGCATAGAAACATAAGAATAATAAAATCCTTTTTTCTTATCTTTTTTCTTTTTTTTTTGTTACTTTCTTTGATTTCTGACGTCAATATTATTTTTCTTTTGTCCCTATAAGATTTTCTTCTAACAAATGTTTACACGTTTTACACGTTTACAAGCGAAGCCAATTATCGTCCTCCACACACATTTTATATTAAATATAATCTAAATCCATTTGGTGTTCTTTCTGAGAATTGTGTCATGGGTATTAGCGACGTGTGTCTGTAACTGTTTGTGTCTGTCCTGTGTGAGTGTGCGTAAGCGTGCTTGCGTGTAAGTGTGCGTGTGTATGTGTGTAACGAAAACGAACGTTTAGGAAAAGAATAAACTAAGTAATATATTTATTCGGCGCACCGTTCGACGCAAAAACACGGACCTCCTATTTTTGGGGACCGTAATTTATGTTGCGTATAGAAAGTCACGATGACGTTTAAACGAAGGTAATAAATAAATTAAATTAAATTAACAAACAAAAAGAAAAAATATATATGTATTATATATATATATTAATAGGATCAAGCGATTGAAACACATACATACCGTAGACTTAATATAAATGAGAGAGAGAGAGAGAGAGAGAGAGAGAGAGAGAGATCTTTAAAAAGTTCAAGTAATTTCAATTTTATGCCAGATACATTTGAGATAAACGAAATATTATTATTATTATTTTATTTTATTTTATTTTTTGGTTCTAAATATTTTTTTTCCTTGTATTTTATTTCGTCGAATATTTCACCATTGAAAAAAAAAACAACCATGTCAATTTACGAAGAAAAAGGGGTGACGGAGTTTAATTGTGCCGAAGGATCAAGGATTCAAGACTGAAAGTTAAGGAACGAATAGGAAATATTCGTTCGAATTTCCTCGCTTTCCTCGCGATCGTTGTTATTCGATGCATACAACATTCGTCACACCCTAATTTTGAATCTTCTTTCGTCGATAAACAAAACAAATATCGTTTACATACAGCAGGATTGGGTACATATTTTAAATCAGTCAACAAACTTATTGTCGAATATAGTTTTTCAGTTCTAATATCTATTTTGTAATAGTTATACAAGTTAACGTAAAAAAAAAAAGAAAAAAGAAAAAAAAAGAAAGAAAGAACGAATGAGAAAAGAAAAAAAAATCTAACCAAACGAATATCCGAACGACTGATGCAAGTGATTTGAAAGGAAAAAACAAAACAAAAAAATTCGATTTTAGACGATAAATATTGAATTAATTAATTAACAATCGTCGCTTGTTCGGAATATATGAAAAGTAATCTTAAAAAAATTTCGAATTAAACGTCCGGGTTACTTGAAGATTGTTCGTGACAAAAAAATAATAATAAAAAAAGAACGATATAGACAAAAAAAAAAAAAATTAAGCAAAAGAACGATAACGAAAGAAAAATTTCAAATAAAAACAAAATGAAAGAAATGGAAATTCCTCGGAAAATGTTTAAAATACGTGCTCATCCTGTCTTTAAACCACATGTGGAAATTCTTTATATTTATAATAACTATATTACAAAAAAAAAAAACGAGACTTCCTCGTCTTGTTGTACAGAAAAAAAAGGAAATTGTAAAAAAATGGGACCGAAATATATTTTACATTTATAGCTTTGGTCATTGTCGTGAACACAAAAATCACCGCAGTGCGCCACAATGCCTTTCAACGATAACAAAAAAAAAAAAAAGAAATAAAAAGAAGAAGAAGAAGAAGACAAGAAAATAAACTAAAAAAATAAAAATAAAAATAAAAAAAAAGAAAATATTTAAGCTGAGACTATAAAAAAAAAATTTTTTTGCTTGTAGATTTTAAACAAGGATCACGATCTAGGACTTGTGTCGTCAATATTCAAATTTCCGTGTTCGATTCGCGAAAACGCGAACATACTGAAGTGTCTAGCGTTTATTTGTAATAATATAACAAACATGTAACACGTACACACACACATACATACATAAAAAAATACTATAAAGTATAAATGATTACACACAAGCATAAATATAATATACAAACGAATATATTATATACATATACGAATAAATATGTATATCCTTATTTGTAATAAAATTCAATGTTACTTTACGAGAATATGTGGGGAAAGAAGGGTGGGGGAATGTAATCCTTAGAGAGCTTGTTGATATATATTCGGAATTATGGTGCCTGACAGACAACTACGATTGAGTTTTAAGAATACTTTTATATATATTCTGAGAAGAGGATAAGTGATGTGTTATTAAAAAAAAATTATAATAATAAAATAAAATAAAATAAAATTCGTTGATCGCCCAACGTGTTGTAAGACGCGATTGTGTTTCGATTGCTTGCGTAAGTCGTTCGGATATATGATGTGTCTGTTAAGAAAAAGCTCATATATTCGAATATACCGAATGACTAAAATGATTTAGACTTCTTGGCAGGCCTATTATTATTATTATTATTATTATTATTATTATTATTATTATTATTATTATTATTATTATTATTATTATTATTATTCTTATAAATGTAAATGGCATGGAATTTTCAACGACGCCTGTTGCAGACTCATGAAGAAAAATAATCGTTTTTCCAAATGTTCATATTGTTGAGCCTGTAACATAGGGGGCCATATTTTCACAAAGAACGAGGTGTCTCTCATTAAAATGAAATTCTAAATAATAATATCTGCATCAATAAGGCGCAGAGAACTGGGTGGGGCCTAAACAACAAATGTTAGCCGACTCAAATTTTATTGACTCATACACACATATATACGAACATACATACAAACATACATACATATATACATAAATGCACGTATATATGATATATGTATATACGTATATACGTTGTAATAAGATAACTTTCATATTTATATTCGTTCCGAAATCACACATGAATAACTTGTCGATATTTATTATACATTTTATCGGAGTGTATGAAGACAACAAAATTGTTTGTTATAATACAATCACGTTCCAATAATTTACTGTCTTCCCAAGGTACTAAATTTGCAGTTTAATTTAAGATGGTAGCCAAAATCTCTATCGTGCTGCTATCCTTGCCAAGAAAAGTAGAGTCTGATTGGTATTGAATCCTTAATTAAAAAAAAAAAAAAAAAAAATGGATATATGCGTGTAGGTGCGCCTTGTGGAGGTTAAAATAATAAATAATGTGCTATTTAGCATTGGAAAATCTATTGTATCATTTTTCTTTTCTTTTTCTATAATCTATTGTTTTATGAGATGAAGCTCTGCGAATGATGAAGCTTTTATAAAATACAAAAAGGCACAAACTATGTTATGCAATATAGTAAATCTTATATTAAAGTAATTCTATTGCATAAAACACTGAATATAATTATAGACATACATTAACAGAAGTTAAAGAACCGTTCCTTATAATTGTTACCGAATAATAATGCATTAATTGACCTTTATTTAAAATGCAAGGATTGCAAATAAATACAACATATTAAGAGAGGAGAGGGATAGTTTCATTTATACTTAAACGTACTCACTAGCGTTGGATTGATATAAGTTTTCAGAGATATTTAATTTTTATCAACTAACTAAAAGTATGAGAGCGTGAAAGAGACATATGAGTGGTGTATGCAACTAATGAAAAAATAAAAATAAAAAGAAAATTAAAAAAAACATTGATTATTATGAAAAAAGATTACATGTTATGGAAGTAAGTGCAGTGATAGTTATTTAATGTAAGTTGCATCTAACAATATACATAAATATATATATACATATACATATGTATGTATGTATATATATAAAAAATAACCATTACTCACTCGATAAAATAATATAGGAAGATATTTTGTGAGTGTGTCTATAAACTCGATTAAAACTTATATGATAAACAACTGAACGTTATATTGATTTACGAGAAGGATATATTTGTTCCGATAGAGAAAGGAATTTTATAAAGGTGTTGTATATGTGAGTGTCATCATTTATGAAAGCGCCTTATTCAGCGAATTTCGTACAAATTTCAAATAAAACATCTCTCCATCATTTCAAATCATTTTCAAACGTTGCAGGGATCTTTACCAGGTTACGCGTAGCGCATGGCAGATATATTTCTTCGTTATATATATAAATAATATTAATACTATTACATTTCTATTTAATTTCATTTTCTATCTGCTTTCTCTAAATTAAAAAAACAGATAATAATAATAAGTATTTTGACTTATAATCACTGTTTCCTTATATTCAATGATACTTGACTGAGCCACCTTTATAGAAACCTTTCTTACGAAAGGACATCGTAATTTCAGTAGCAAGTAATATTTAAGTATCTCATGTTAATATATTTTTTAGCGCAGTGTATCTAAAAAAAAAAAGAAAAAGATAAATGAAAAAAAAAAATTTTACCAAAAACGTTTTGAGAAACACGTTATGTCCCATATAAAATATATCCACTCTCATAATTTTTAACAAATGAATTTTTGAATATTAGAAAGTGCAATCACTTATTGTAATAAACGATTGATAAGTTTTAAAAATAATACCTACGTACGATATATTTTAAAGTTTTAAAATGTATTACATGATTAAAATTATAATATGATCTTCTTACATATCTTCTTGATCGTCCATTATGTTATATTTTACATTTTTTACATTTTTGTTGCTAGTAACGATTAACAAAAAAAGGAAATAAATAAATAAATAATATAAAAAAATAATAATTAATAATAATAATAAAAAATCTATTAATCTAGACGTACTAAAGCAGTTAGAGAGAAAGAGACTCTAGTTCAAATGGCGAAATAAATAATGGAAAATAATATAAAAAATGAGAATAAGTAACTTTCTCTTCGATGCGTAAGCTCAAGTGATATGAATCTAATCTATATATCGAATATAATTATAATTACGTTGAAGGAAGTCATTTTACGTTTACACGAACTTCTGTATACTGCGAACTAAAGGATTATCACTGTTCATGTTTTGAAATAGCTACGAAAAAAAGAGATTAATGCAAATAGTTCTATCAGATGCGCTGTAACGTAACCTGCTCATTATATACATATATACATCAATTGTTCACTATTACAAGTAAATACAAGTTTATTTTCAAGCCCCCATAATATTCCACAGTTCTTTGTGTCTAATAAAAAAATACTTTTACATAAATATCATTATTTATCATCCATTATAATATAATAAAGTCTTGTTGCGACAAAAAAGAAAGCTCAGATTTATATAATCTGCATCGAACGAATAGAATTGCACGAAAATAATGGTCATTTTTAAGTAGCATTTAAAAAGCATGTTGTCAGACAGATAAAAAAAAGAAAAATATTCTTGAAATTTTGATTTACAATCAGATAAAAGTGTCACCGTCGACAAGAATTCACCTAAATGTTTGACAAACAAATTCATGTTATTCCTGCAAATAGTATTTATTGATATAACTAATTAAATATTTTCAATTCAATTCATAATTAACGAGACAACGTTATAAAATAGTATTTTTAAATACCTACCCCGGATAAAAACCAAGCCTCATGATTATTTGTAACATTATTGGAGCATCTAGCAAACTGCTTAATTTACTTTTAAATAATATAATGCCATAGTAAGAGCAATTGGCTAGATGCTCCGTTTAATTATGAACATATAATGAAACTTTCTACATAACAGGTATATATCAATAAAATTGTCGAATAAACTTGATTTTTGTAAAAAAGACAAAATAAAAATCGTGGTATTGTAAATTCATTTTAACATATATTATTCTCTTTATTTAACATCTGTTAATATAATCTTTTCTGTAAATATTCATATTTATACAATTGCAAATACAGTCATTTTTATTTTTATCAATTTATAAAGATATTATCGAATATCCTTATAAAAGAAAAGAAAGTGAAATTTGAAGAAATGTACATCTGAAAAAGAAATTAATGTTACATGACAAAACATGTTATATATATATTATAATTATTTAAATTTATTTTCTTTATGATTCTCGTAAATTTTTCGTCGGATACGTAGGTTTTAAATTATTTTGTTGAAATTTCGTATCTTTTTCACTTCGAATCCTATGAATCTTCTTCTTTATCACCATTGCACCTTTTTATACAAATTATATACAGATAAAATTCTTGAATATTGCAATAATTATTACATAATTAAACTTCAAATAAACTTACATAATAATGCTTTCGCAAGATCATTTTTCTTTGATTTAACATTAACCGATTTCTTCATAGATTTTTGATGCCTTTTTTGTATATTAGCAAGTTCAATTGCTTCTTTAGATGGTGGTGGAAAAAGGCAAATTTCTAGCCAATGAGTTGCTTTAGCACATTCGCATAATTTTAACCATACCTAAATTATTACAAAATTCTTATAAATATATCATTTAAAAAAATATAATAAAAATGTAATATACTTATATGAACCGTTAAAATGTATTAGAAATTTAATTTACACTTAATTCTTAATCGTTGTAAGAATCTTTACCGAATTAGAACATTCCGCAAGAAACCATATCAACAAAGCGAGATCCACTTTTTCTGGCCACATCATTTTAGGTATAAAAAATATGTATAAATAGACCCTGATTCATAAAGTATTTATAAATTCGTTCAGGTAATCATTCTCATTAAGAATATGTATACATATTCTTTTCGTACTAACCAATTAAGACAGTGAATTGAGAATAATAAGGTAGCAGTCCATTTAGCAAATAATTTTCCAACTTCACCGATAACTTGACTACTACATATCAAAATCCTGCAAATATCTATTAATATTATGTCAACAGCTCTATAAAATAGAAAGGCATTTTCTACCTTATATTGCCTAAAAGAAAAATCATGTAGTATATGTTTTTTAACACCAAACAATTCTAGAAATGTATAAGAATTTAGTTACTTTTCATAAAGCATATTTAAGACGTAAGATGCAAATAATAGATTTGTTAAACCATGAACCCAAGCATTGTGACATATAATAGCAACACCGGCACGATGAAAGAAGAAACTTTTATATAAAATAATAGCCAATTCTTGATGCGTTATATTCCATCCATTAAGAGAGAAATTTAAATTCTTGGTAGGCATATGCATAATGTACCAAATGCTGCAGAAGCAAAATCCACAATTCCATGCTGCTTCAATTATTCTATACCTTTGTGTCAATGGAATACACATACGACGAAGCAATGACTATAATAAAACAGATTATTACTATATCAATAATAATAGATAAGATATAATACATAAAATTGATGTCACAACTTACATTTAAACATTTCTTATATGCAAGATAAATAATTGCCCAAATTAAAATAAAATATCCTAAGAAAGTATTAACATTTCTTATCCTATTATTATTTTCAGTAAGATCTTCAGTTATAACAATTTTGTTCCACATATTTAATGGATATGGTAAAAAATTAGTTATATCCATTAAAGAATGCCATTTCATTGCAGAACTTGCTTCCACGTATTGGGTCATCTTTAAAATCTATTTTAGTCAGCGAATACTTTTTATTGTCAATATTACTCTTATTGATTTGAATTAAATTTTATTAATACACGTAATTTTGTTCATGCATACCTAATTAATTATTTTAATATCACACACAAAATAGTAATAGATATATAACTATGTAAAATGAATTTAAGAAATGACAAATAATAAATGCGATTGATTGATCATACGTTAAAACAAACAAATGTTTCAATAAATTGTATAATTATTTATATCAAACAGATGAGTGAGTTAAATTTTAGGAACTTGAATAATACACCGTGCAAGTGAAATAATCTTTTTGATGATAAAAACGTACACCTGACACTCCTGACCTAACACAAATAACCTCAGGAAATTAATACATATGGTGGAATGCATGACTAGTGCCATCTGTTGTAGAAAATAAAAACTAATAAATTATTATCGATAAAACTCGTATCGAAACCCGTATTTATTTTTAATTGAAATTATTTATAAAAATTGCAATGTATATTGTGAGTTAATATTTAAATTAATATTATAAATATTTTATATAATATTTATTTATTAAATATTTAAAGTAATATTTAAATAGATTTATTATTGTTTAATATTAATTATGCTCTCTGTAGTGTCTATAAATTATTTAAATAAATTTAAATAATTAAAAAGTAAAAATTAATTAAACTTGATCGTTCGTAAGACAAATTTTTCGATGTTTACACTCCGGAAACCAGAAGAATACTAAACGATATAACTTTCAAAGTCAAACGAGCACTTGTTTTTATTGACATTATGGCAATGTTATGTGCGCACGAACTATGTACATTTTAAACAGACGCGCGTACTACTTTTAAAATAATAAACAAATATACATAAATTTTTAATATTCGCTATAATGAATTCTTTTCTTACAAATTTTGAACAAATTTGAATTCAACTTTACTAAAAAAGTAATCCTTACGTATAAATAAAAAACTATCGAATGTTTTTCATTATTTTGAAGGAACCATTTTATAAAACAATGTAATATATCGTATTGTTTTACAAAATTAAACTATATTTTTTACATTTATTAAAATATTAAATTTAATATTTGTTAAAAAATGATAAAAAAAAGATTTGTAAATAAAAAGACCTTGATTCATTACTTCTAAGCAAACTCGTTTCAAAATGTCTTCGTAAAATTATCCCTTCGTGATAAATCAATTTAAAAAAAAACTAAATCTACTTTGTTTTAATTTAATAATTTTAATTCTTCGTGATGAAACAATTATGATTTGGTCAGACTTATACGTCAATCTAAAAAATGATGGCACCAACGAATAGGATTATGTTACCAATTACAAATCCTACTCATTGAGACCCTTCAAAATCAAGAATAAGGTTATCACTAGAAGCACTGATAAGGTTTCTTCGATCAAGAGCGTGTCTTAAACTTCCTCGACCTATTTACCGAGATATATCTATCTTTATTACTTGCTGTTATATTTTTACAGTAAATGTAAGTATATGAGATCAAAAAATTAAATAGAATTAACAAGGTGAGAGCCTAATAAGACAGGACATCCCATTTTTTGTTTTTAATTTACACAATTATAGGAATTCGTCAGGATCATAGACTATGCAAGCAATAAGATTCAAGAAAAAAACCAAAATGGAGAAGTTTTACATGCATTCTTATGCATTAATTAGTTTTATCGAAATATTTGAAGGTTTCTATGATTTTATAAACATAAATCTGATCTTTTTGAACATCTAAACTTCTGTAACACGTTTTATAATTATCATCGGTATGAATAAAAAATTAGATTCCTTTTTTATATGTTAAATTCTTTCATGCACTTAACCTTCAACAACAACTCTGATATTTGCAAATGATCCATTACAGAACTAGTCTTCTTAGATGTCAACTTTACCGGTTTAGAACCTGAACTTCTTCTTTCATTGTACATTCTTTGATGATCACGAACAATAATTTCTTCCATCGTACAATTTTCTTCTTCGTCTGACTGGAATTTCAAGGACTCCCCTTGTGTTAAGAGTTTAGATCAAGAGATCACGTAGAACATAATGGCAATTGCTGACATTCTATTATTGTATACCTTGCTAACTAACTGTTAAAAAAAAAACTTACGGTGATATACTATTATCTTTATGAAATATGTATGATCACAATAAGTAGTATATACATCAAACAAATTGAACGAAATTAAAGAGAATAATTAAAGGATTTTTCTATCCAATCAATTATTTTTTTCTCCACCATACATACGAATTATCATTTCTGAAGAAACACTTTGGTAAGATCTGAAAATAAAAAAAAATTAAATATACCGTTTCGTACAAATAACTTTCTACGTTCGAAGGTAATAATTTTCGAAGGAAAGTATGTACAAGCTTTTTTTTCCTTTCTCACAATCAGATCGTTAAAGTAAAAGAAGTTGAAATAACAACGAACGTAATTTTAACGGAACATCTATTTCCTTGTTTTCTTGTACGAGTACAACTATCTAAACTAAAAAATCAAAGAGGTATAAATTTATCTCAATGTTTGATACAAGAACTTATCCGTCTATTTTAATTCAAAAAGTTGATATAAAAGACAAAGGAGAGAAGCATGGATCCAAGGAGAACGAGGTGGAAGTGTTTCGAGACACGCGAAAGCGTACTTGTCGCCACTCAAGTTAAAGTGAAAGTCGGACTTTGTTGTGATCGTTGATCCAAATCGACGCGAGAGATCGATAAGAACGATTCCCGATACGATATTCTCCTCAAACAATTGTAAATTATTGTTTATTAAATATAAATATAAAAATTAAAATATTTTTTAGTGCATATGTGTGTATGTGAAAGTATATGAAGTATACTCACTCGTATGTGGTGAATATGCTGTTATCGGTGAAAAAAACAAATTTGTTATACAAAATTGAATTTCAAGATTGGCATAATCCTATATTTAATAGTTAGTTCTTTTTTTTTTAATGGAATAATATATTTTTGTATTTATTATATTTTGATAAAATGTTTTAATATGCGTACGAGTTGCGTTGTGGTATTTTTATTTTATTTTTTTATATAAAAAAATAATTTAAAAAAATAAATAAATAAATAATTACTCTCTAAATCAAGTAAATTTTAATTTGACATATTTTTGTTCTATCACCAAACGTAATCGAGATATTCATCGAGGTGAACTGTTCGAAATACTTCCTCAACCGGTGTATTACTTGTTTCGTTAAAAAAAAAAATAAAACTTTCGTTTTGAATAACAAAGAGGCGTGGTCGCTTTCCACGTAGTCACGAAGAAAAGATGATCGTTTGAATTATGATGATCGTTTTGAAAAGAGTTCAAATGGTTTTACAGTAGATCGCGTCTCTTATGAAATGGAACTATTTTCCTGGAAATGAAGCGAAGCGAGGCGAGGAGGACAGGGAAAGAAAAAAGAAAAGAAAAGAAAAGAAAAGAAAACCATTTCAATCGTTACGAACTTTCCAATAATCTCAATATAATATATCTTTCTTCTAGTGTAGACTAAAAATAATAAATTCTTACCTTAAAGTTATAATTTCCTGGTCTACTTATCAATTGATAGATTGTATTATTTCTAGTGATTTCACATAGTTTTTTTTTATATTTATTTACTATACAATTGCATCAAGTTTTTATTCCTAATCATGTAAATTAATATTACTCATTATATTATTATTATAAAATATAACAAAATAATAGCATATATATATGCTTCTAATTATAATATTAAATTAAATTCACTTATATATTGAAAAATAAATTCATTCCAAAATTGTAATATAAATAACAATATAAAAAATAATTGGTATTTTTAATTAATTATTATAAATATAATTAATATAAATAATAATTTGTAATATAAATAATTGTGATATGAATGTTATGAAATAAATCATAAAATAAATTTTGTCAATTTTTATGTTCATGTAAATTAATATTACTCTCTGATTATATTATTATTATAAAATATAACAAAATAATAGAATATATATATGCTTCTAATTATAATATTAAATTAAATTCACTTATATATTGAAAAATAAATTCATTCCAAAATTGTAATATAAATAACAANATATATATATATATATATATATGCTTCTAATTATAATATTAAATTAAATTCACTTATATATTGAAAAATAAATAGATTCCATAATTTACTTTGTAATATAAATAATTGTGATATTATATGAAATAAATCATAAAATAAATTTTGCCAATTTTATTTTGTTGTTCATTTGTCCATTGTAGTAATTACCTGTAGTTATATTCAAATATTGTTATCCATCGAATCATCTTCTCGAGTATAATAGTTTAACCAAGCGGTTAGAAAAAGTCTATAGGGAAAGGTGGAATGAAAGGATGAGAGAAGAAAAGTATGCCATTAAAATCGAATACTCACTGTCAGTCAGTGACCTACTAACAACACAACATCGTCTTCCTTCGAATAATACGATCTAGCAATAAGATAAATACACCTTTTTATGAACTTTTTATCGAAATCTTTGCTATTACTACTGTGAATCACAATGAGCAATCAGTGTGTACAAAATTAGAAATTATAATTTACCTGTTAACCTATTTGCTTAGCAGCAGTTTACAAAAGCCAATTTTAAATTTCTATTTTTCAAATACATATTTGCTGTCTCTTTTAAAACACCATATTTGAAAAAAAGAAAGAAAAAAAAAAGACTCTAATCGTAGATATATTTCGTGATCAATGATCGTTACAGTTTTTTTTAATTCGAGAATTACGTAATTGTAAAATACTGTCTCAATTAACAGTAACAGGATATTGAAATGCTAATAAACATTTTACTGATTAGATCGGCAAATTTGAATATTTAATATTCTACTTGAATATACATAAACCATTCGAGTCTCCGTAAAATTACGTATATATATTTATATACTTCGTCGAAGAACGAAAGTACTTTCGAAAACGTGTATTATCGGTTATAAGCAACGTGACTTCATGAATATATTCCATACTTATCGCGTATGGTTAAATTTGAAATGAAATTCTTTAACGTAACGGAAATTATTTGGGATAATTTTCCATCAATTGTATTTCATTATAATTTTAAATAATTAAAATAAAAAAAAAACAGAATAAAAAAAAATTATACAGTGTAATTGCAAAAATAACAATCACCAAAATTTATGTGTAAAATATTAAACGACATTTTTTCGAACGAGTTAGTTGAATTTAACAACGATTAAAAAAAAAAAAAAAAGTAAAGTATAAGAAAAGAAATGTAATATTTTAAATTATATTATAAATTTTTAATTTAATAAAATAAAATTAAATTAATTAAATAAATTACTTAAATTTTAAATTATTATAAATAAATCCTAACGCGATATTACGATTATAAAAAAAATAATAAAATGCAACTTTTACAACTAGTAGGATATTAATCGAAATAACCGCTACATAACCGGCTCTTAGGTAAGAGAGCACGAGCATGACCCTTGATCGTAAGAAGGAACAACATATTAACATTCCCTTTTTCCAATGTAAAACTCACTATCTTGACTACTTTCTTTACCTATATATATTTCCCCTTCTCTCTTTCTCTCCTTCTTTGACATACGTAAAAGTGACAACGAGATTTAAAAAGAAGGACAGGGATAGAAATAGTTGCTAGAATCATGGATCGCGCATGACCACTTTGACATTCGAACTGTCTCTATCTATTTGCGTGTGTGTTTGTAACGAATCGTGTTTGGTCAAGATAGTTAAAAAGAGAGAGAGAGAGAGAGAAAGAGAGAGAGAGAAAGAAAGAATCAAAGGAGTGGGATTGGTTGGCTGAAAGAAAATGCAGAACTCGTTGAAAGCTGAATGAGTGAGAATGAGAGAGAGAGAGAGTGAAAGAGTGAGTGAGATGAAAATAGAAGAAACCAAAGAGGAAGGGGATAGCAAGTAAAAAAGTGGTAGTAAATGTATGACTGTATATTGTAGTTGGGTTCGGACTAAGAGGTGATATAAAGGCAATACGTTGCATTCACCTGGTTTAACTTACCTGGAAGATCGAAGATCGAACATCGACAAGAAGAAAAGCTCCTCAGAGCCTTACTGGCTAATCATACGACACCACACCACTCTCCAACCTCATGGTGAGTAAATTTTTATTATAAAAATTTGGTTATTATATTATATTAATTTTATGAATGAAAGATTGAAAATGAAAATTATTTGAATTGTATATATTACAAAAAAGAATTTATATTGTTAAATGTTTCTACTGATTGTAGTAATTAAATTGTATCGAATTATATATCAATGGAAATACATAATTGTTTAAAAAATTATATTAATTATTATATATATTTAAAAATGAATTAAAAATTTGTTCTATATGCTTGGTAAACGATATTTTCGAAAATTATAATTTGCATTTTTGTAAATTACCATTTTTGTAAATTAATTTCACGAAATTAAATATTTGAATATTAATTTTATTTTATAAAAATTATTGTTAATATGATGATATATTTATATTTTCCAAATACTTCTAAAAATTGAATATTTAAATATTAATTTTATTTTATAGATTTAATAATAATTAATTATTTATATTAATTTGTATCATCGATACCTTGGAAAAAGATTAGAATTTCTTTTTTTTTTTTAATGGGTTTAGTTGATTTATCGTATACAAATATTTGTTTTTAAATTCATATCAGTGCACACGCTTAAATCTTTAATACTACTTTAATGCTAAGATACGATCTGTATATAATTATGTATATATGTATTATATAATGTGAAAGAACGTGTATACGAGCCACAGATGAGTAACAATTATGCTATTAGTGGGCGTGTGACAGGTGAATGATAAATGATATTTTTTTTTAAAAACATCTCTTGTATGTTGAAATTATACATTGTCTTCTTGTTTGCATGTAAATATATGTTCATTACTTAACTAAGATAAAACTAAACGATAAAACGTTGAGGTGAAGAAAAGAGATAAAAGAAATAAAAGTTTATCTCATTGATTTGATGATTGAGAAATTAAATTCATTTTTTTTTTTCATTTTTCATTGTCAAACATTAATAATTGTATTTGATATCATTCTGTATTAATTAACTAGCTGACAGAACCGTTAGAGAAGGTTGTTTTTCAATTGGAAGTTATAATAATAATAAATAAAGGCATCTTCAACTAGTTTTCTGTTGACACCGAGTATAAATTTCCTTATTTAACATTAACGATGACTTATATTACAAACTTAATGAAATGTCGTTTATTTTAATCGATATTTCAAACAACAACAAAAATCATTCAAACTTTGATGAAAAAGTGTGCGTGATTTTTTTTAGCATTTTTGTTTAATCAAGGAAAACGAGTTTGTTATACGGAAACGTGTGTATACTTCGAGGACAACCTTGTCGTTTCCGCATAATAAATCGATAAGCACTATCTATAAAAAAAAAAAGAATATAAAATCATAGACAAAATTTATAGAAAATGATATTCTACGAACGAGTTTACAGGAGCATGAATATTTTTATTTTTTAAGATCGTAAATAGTTCTTTTTCTTTTTCAAATATGAACATTAATACTTTTCAAGATAAAAAGCGAAAAGTATATATATATATTTTTTTTAATTTTTACAAAATAATCGAAGTTTAATTTAATGTAAATTTTCTATTAAAATCTTCAATTTGTTTGTTGGTTTAAAAAACACGAACTATACGTATTAGATTACTGTATATATATAGTTACACTATCGTCTAAGTGTGTACGATAATTCAATTATGGCAGATACATAGATATATGCATGTGATTCTTTTTAGATAATGCAAATTAGGACACCTTATTACGTTACGTAAAAATTTTCTTAATTGAATTATAAAATAAAAATCTTGTTCTGTTTCTATTTCAAAATTCAAATAGAATCAATTATGATATTTAAATAAATTATACTCGAACAATGTTTCATAAAATATTAATTTCTATTAAAAATAATAAACTCGATTAGTAATTAATTAAATTATCAATTTAGTTATGTGTTTTATATTTATAAATTTGATAATAGGATATTTCAACATTTCTTTGATTCGATAAACTTGAGAAAAACAATAAAAAAATCATTTATTTTTCTGAATTAAAGTTTATCCGAGTTCGTATAATTTAAAAGTCGCGTTTCCACCTTGAAACACGAGAAAGTGAAAGGTTTGTAAAAATGAAGTCTACATCGTGCAAGTATAATTAATTAAAACAAAAAGAAAATAATTAAATATGATAAAAGTCTAATTATATTCCGATAGAACACTTGAATAAATCGATAAAAATATAAAAATGTTGAATTAATTGACCGCGACACTTTGAAACGATAGTTCTCGTGTTATAAGCAAAAGTAGGATGTAAAAGTAGGATGCAAATGGAAACTCACAAAGTATAATAATATTATACCTCTCGAAAACTTTCCCTATAACTGATACCGGAAAGTAGAGTAAGTTTACTGCTGTGTTATCCTTAATTATTATTATTTATTTTCTTTCTTCATTACTTTTCTTTTTTTTTTTTCCTTATACACGTACTAATTTTGTATTTGCTTTGCGTGGCTGATCTAAAATTCAACGTATAATTATTAAATTTGTATTATTTTTTCTTTTTCCAGTTAATAATATACTAATTTTAGGTTTGCTTGAAAGCGTGACTGATGATATTAAGTTCTATTATTTTTTTTTTAGTCGAATTTTTTTACCTTAATTACGATCGTTTTGTTAACAACTGATAATAAAAATGTCAATTTTATAAAAAACACGGTTGTTATAAGTAAACGCTTGTAAAATATACTTTAAAGTAAGGATTTCTTATTGAAGTTTTTATTCGTAATTTAAAAACATTAAAAATGCTTTGTGAATGTAATTGCAAATTGATTTTTAAATGTAACTTATGAAAAAGAAGAAAGAAAAAAAAATAAAGAAAAGCAGAAAAAAGAATTTCGTTAATTCGAATACAAGTAGGACGTGAAATAAGAAGGAGAAAAAAAAATTATATAGGTTTACTTTCTCCTTTAAACTTAGAGTTCGAAAGTGTCAGCAGTGGTGTGGTGATTGGTTGTGCCGAAAGAAGGAAATTTTTTATATTTTACAATCAAGTTTTGAGTTCGTTAGAGCAAAACGAATAAATTTAACCGATTTCTTGATTTTCTTGATAAGAATTACTAGTTTCTTTAAAAGAAATTTCCCTATTAGCATAAACTTTGTTACATATTTGATATAATATTCAATATTACGTTACATAAATTCTAATATTTGATAATATTAGATTATGTAATAACAATATTTATATAATATATATATAATCATATTATAAATATGAATAATACATATATAAATAAAGTGAAAAATATTTCAATTATTTTTAACGTCAATTATAAATAATAAACGTGCATAAATTAAAATTATTTTATATTGAATATTAAATTAATTTAAATTAATTATTTAATATAAATATAATATATATTAATATTAATAAATAATAGTAGTAGTATTAATCTGAAAGAAGAAAAAAAAGAAGAAAGTTACCATAAGTAATTTTGAAAATAAAATGGTAAAGAAGAAGACGAATATTCTGATGACGAATCATCGTCGTGAAAGGTGAACGAAATAAAGAAGAGAATGAAAGACAAGAAGAAGAAAAGTAACCGCAAATGAATATGGCATCCAAAGTAAATGCCCGAAGCAGTGAAAGTCACAAACCGGATGAACTTTTGCTTACAAACGTCTCTCTCTTTCTCTTTCTGAGATTGCGTCGAGTATTTGACGAGTGGTTAAGTCGTTGAAATGAAAGAAAGAAAGAAAGAAAAAAAACAAATGAGAAAGATATAATAGCGAGGAAACCAAATTAATCTCAAGATAAAAAGATTTAAAAAAATCATTGGTACTTGCGCCTACGTTGATAGTTTTATTACGCAACATATACTATACTGGAAATATGTGTTTCCATCTTATGAAAACTTTCGAAAAGCAACAAGATAATCGATCTATGTATAGAATATTTTATGAAACTTTGTAATTATTACTTCAAATTGTGTAATGTTTACGTAATTAATCGATTGGTCAAACATAATGTAACTTATCATCACTTGATTGCAATAATCGTTATTAAATATAAGAAAATATTTTAATGATAAATCATTTCTTTTTTTTATAATAAATTAATTCATTTAGAAATAGAAGAGAAAACATTAATAATAAATGTGTCATCATCTTTAGGTTGGTTGGGTCGGTGTTGGTAATGACAACTATCGTCGTATTGGCTAAGGACAAGGAGAATATGACTCTTCGATGACACCTAACATCATTAATTGGTCAAACAGTCAATTACATCAATATCATTGCTTTTCTTGCAATCTCAAGAAGTTATGACGTAAGTTTACATTTTTGTTTTTTATTATAGATTTCATATTCTTGTTTATTAACTACCAATTACGTAAATCCTAATCGAGAAAGTTTGATTGTTTGTTTGATTGATTAAATGTGATCATTTCTTTTTTTTCTTTAGGATTACTTGGTCGAATTCCTATTCGAAGTATCGGTAAACACAATGGAAAAAATTACTCGTATCAAACCAGAATTTTTTACCACCCACTCTTCTGATGTATATAGATATACACATCAATTGTTTTTCACCGGATACAATAACACGAATCATCGAATTACTTATGAAAAAACAAATACTTGGTATAAATCAAATTGACGGTTGGAAATTAATCGTCAAATAGTTAATCCAGATTATAACAAGAATATGATCCATCTATTGTATTGATGTTGGAAATCAAGTTACGTTCTTCATACAAAATCTGAAAATATCATGAAAAGTATTACGTTTTACGAGTATCAATGGAATATGATGAACGTAAAATTATCTTCAGGATTTTCATCACGATCAAGACATCTTCCAGGGAGGTTCCTCGTCGAGTACCAATCAACGAATCAAATCTTAATTGTTTTTACAAAATTTTTAAAACGTTTTGTTAGATCATATCATTTTTTTGAATATTAATGCAATGATATAAATAGTATCAATTTAAATTGATTTTAAATTGTTCGGATGCAATGAAACAAAACAAAATAAACAAAAAATTGATTCGTTGACTGGTCACTCGGTTTCATCAAGAAATACTAAAATCGGCAAAATCTTCCTTTTCCTTTGCTTTATTTATCATTATTTTGAACTCTGACTGTTCCCGAAAAAAAAGAAATTGTTCTATCCAGATGAATCGTTTTTACTCGATTGGAACAGTTGAAACCTTCTCGACAAACCTAACGTTCTGTGATAGCCCTTTTCTCGCTTGTCTATCGATTATCAGGTGTATTTCGTAATTTAATCGATTCTTCTCTCTTTTATCGTTGAAACTACTTGATCCCTGATAAAAACGATCATCTACTATGATTTATAAAAAACAAAAGCTTTTGCTAAATAATTCTCAACTCTGTTACTATACCTATACTTTACCTATACTTCAATCTATTTTCTTTTCTTTTTTTATTTGTCTATAATCTCATTTACTTTTCTTTTTCTTGACCTGTCTTGCAAACACCATTTGTAAATTTTGTATGAAATTATTCTCAGCTCTCTTGCTATTCTTAAACTATGTCTATCTCTATTTTGATTTTTCTATTCTATTTCTATTCTTTGATATTTCTATTCTTTTGATATTTCTATTCTTTTCATTTCTTTCTTATTCTCTCTCTCTCTCTCTCTTTCTCTTTCTCGCTAAATTCTTTCTTTTCTATGCTAAAATTTGTTCAAATTTCTGTTTCATGTGCAGCCTCTCTCTTAACTTTTTCTTTATTTTCTCTCTACTAAGCTGTATGTATCTATTTACTTAATTACTTACTTATCTTATTTTATTTTCTATAAAGATCTCCACTTTGATTTCTTTTACTTTATCTTTCGTTGCCATCAACGTATCAGTATTATCAGATTCAAGATTTCTTAATTAATCTTGCAAATGTAAATTTTCATTTCAATATTATTTTCTATTTTCTATTTACATTTTCTTTCTCAACTTCTTTCTTCTTATTTCTTTCTTAGCTATATTTTTTATTTGTTTTTTTTTTTTTTTTTTAATGTAAAATTTTATTTGAAGATCTCTATGCGTTTATTCTTTACTTCTATGTATTAATTTGTTCATTGTATTATATAAACTTTTATTTCTTTACTACTGTACCTGAATACTATCACTTCGAATATATTAGGTCATTAAATATGAAATGTTTGATCATTTGGAATAAAATTATTCGAAATAATCGGACGTTTGATATCTAATCACCTAATATTTATCCTATTTGTTTTTTTCTAATTTACTTTTAAAATTTTCTATTAATTAATTTTATCGTCACGTCCATTCCTGATCTCGTTTCTATACTGTGTTCTTTCTCTACTGTCTTACTTATTTTTTTTCTTTTTCTGTACATTATGTTTTTTCAAACTATTTTCTTAATACACACATTATAAATATAAAACTTCTACGAATACTCTAATTTCTTCTATTTTTCTGTCCTATCTATACATTTCTTCCTATTTCTTTCTAAAACTTTCTTAAAATAATATTTTCTCAACTCTGCACTGTATAATTTGTGAAATATTATTTCCATCCTTTATTAAATCTTTGATCTTTCTATTTCTATCTTCTAAATTAATTCTAATTTTTTATGCATCTCATAAACTATTGTTCTTACTTCTTCTTTCCCTTCATATCTATTTTCTTTTCTAACTATACTCAAAAATTTGTAAATATTTCTATCTTTCAATCTATCAATTTATTTTGTACAAAAATTTTCTTCTTTAATCTACAACTTTTATTTCATTCTATATGTTTCTTCATGTTCTTTTTTCTATATCTATATTCTTAATCTATTTTTCACACTTTACTTGCATATCTTTTAATTTGATCTCTTCTTTCTTCTTTCTGTTAAAATCTTCTCGTTATTTCTATTTTCTTGTTTTATTTTCATTTAAAATTCTATTCTCTCTTCTTCTACCTTTTTCTTTTTCTTGGTCTCTTTCTCTTTCTCTCTCTTTACATTTTTTCTTTTTCGTTTATTCTTGTTACTATCATCTTATTTTCTATCTCTTCTTTTACGTTTCTTTTTTCATCTACTCTTTCTAATCTTTTCTGATCTATTTACAAAAGTGCAATATCATTTTTAATCTATCACTCTGTATCTACATTTCAATACTTTTTTTCTTCTTTCAATTAAAAACTGAATACTTGAACCATTACTTTCTTTCCTTTCACTTTAAATTTCTTCTAGTTTCAAAAATCAATTCTTATTTTCTCTCTACATTTCTTTTTTCTTCTCTTTTCTATTCTTTTTCCTATCTTTCAACTTCTCTGTCACGATTTATGACTGTACGAAACTTAAATTGTGTGTTTTGTCACGTACATTTGTAATATATTCTAATATTTTCTTTAAAAAATATACCAAAAGAAAAAAAAACTACAATAAAAACAGACAAAAAAGAATCGATCATTTTCGTCGAGTATAATTTGATAAATCATATTTACTACTATTTACGATATCCTTTCTCTCTTTCTAGTCTACTTCTCCCACCTATGAATACTCACTCTGTACAAAATCAAAGCGAAATAAACAAAACATTGTTTTCTAATGCACTGTGATTATGATACGTTCTATCATTTATATGCAACTTACTATTTTTCGTATCACCTTTCGTCATAGCTTAACTATTGTACTATAGCATGTCATTTATCATTAGATATGTATCTGTCTATTTCTTTCTGATTTTATGACTACAAATGTTACTCTCAAATCTTTGTATACTAACTTGTATACATACTTGTTTAATATATGCGAAAAGAAATTTGTTATACAATACTTTTTCTTTTTTTCTTTTCTTTTTTTTTCTTCTTCTTTTTAATAAAACATTCAGCCTTTCTTTTTAGATTTCTCGACTTATTCACTATCTCTTATTTTATTTTCTTGTATATATATTCTCTGCTATGATTAATTTCTTTGAAAAAAAAAAAGGAAAAAAAAATAATAAAACACATATCGCTTTTTCTCTCTTTACTTGTTCACAAATTTATGTAAATATATTTATGTAAAAAAAAAAAAAAGAAACATCCTATAACTATTATGTATCATTTTTCTTCGTCACTTCATCATTTTTGTGTCTTTGCTATCACGATTGTTAAGTTGACGAGAAGATTGTCAAATAAAAAAAGGAAATAATCAAATAATCAACTTATAAATAAAAATTGAATATTGTAAACTTGTCAAGTTAAAAAGCGATTTTAAGAATTTTCATTTTGTCAATATGCCTATGCGTGGCTGTGATCTATGACGCCGTTTAATTTCATTTAATGTAATTTATAAATTGTAAAGAATATTTTATTTTTATTTTCATTTCCAACAAATCTGTATCTTTTTCTTGTACAAACGATTGTTTTTGTTCCTTCTGCAAAAAAATAAAAAAAGTAGAAACCAAAAGAAAAAAAAAAAATTTCGAACGTTTATTTCAACATTTATTCCTTTCCTTAGAAGTATTTAAACTGTGTTTGAAATTGTTTTTTATTTTGCAATTTCTCAAAGAATAATAAAATAAACCAATTTTTAATTAAATGAAAATTCAATGTAATTACTATTTATCTTTTAAATATCTATTTTGAATAAAAATATAAAAGCATTATATATTAATTAGCAATTTGCAAACACAACAAAATTAATACGTGCCATTAATAATTTTTCAATAATATTTATCGAGATTTTTTGTAATTATTTATATTAATATTACATATTATGTAATATGTAAATAGATCCAACACTGTATTTGATGCAAATAATGCAATATAAAACTTTATTGATTTACCTAGTATAGGTAGCAGTGGAAAAAATATATTTATTGATTAGTTTTCTTTTTTTTTTGTATTTGGAAATTTTAACGATAAATATTTATAAATATAATAAACTTTTTCTGAATATTAAAATATATATATTTAAAAAAATATATAAGATTGAACACTTCTATGTAAAATAATAAACTAAAATAAGTATTCGTGAGGAATTTTTTTACACGAATTATATATATAAAATTTTCAATGATAATGTGTAAAAATTAATATGAATTGTTTAGTATTCTAAAACAAAAAATATTACTTTAAGAAATAACATTTTTTGTTTTAAATATTCAGTTCAACCGATTCGTTCATACGTGACTTGTATTTATCGAGAACTGGTTGAACTTCTTCCTTAATAAATTCGTGAACCTGTTCAGGAGCCCTACCAACGAAAGTCGAAGGATTTAACAAATCATCGATTGCACCAAGTATCGGAGCAAAGTATGGATCTTTTTTAATTCTTTCAATCAAATCATTGTCAAGACCGTGTTGTTTTACTTGTGCACCAGCTTCTTGAGATAAAACTCGAATTTTTTCATGGCATACCTGAAGCAAGACAATAATTTAATTTAATAAATAATTTAAACAAAACAAAATAAGAAAATGTTTTATACAAAGAAGAATCAAATTTTACTTGTCTATCACCGCCTGCTTTAACCATAGCCATTATAATATTTTCCGAACACATGAAAGGTAATTCTTGAGCCACATGTTTTGCAATGACCTTGGGATAAACAACCAAACCTTCGGTGATATTTTGCAAAGTAATAAGAACAACGTCCGCCGATAAGAATGCTTCTGAAAGTGTAATCCTACGATTGGCTGAATCGTCCAATGTTCTTTCCATCCACTGTACAGATGCAGTTTGAAGAGTATTATTAAACAACGTCATCAAATGACGTGCAATGCTGCAACATCTTTCGGAACGCATTGGATTCCTTTTATAAGGCATGGCACTTGATCCTATCTGTGTCTTCTCGAATGGTTCTTCTAATTCTTTCATATTAGCCAATAATCTGATGTCCGTACAAATCTTAAAACAAAAACACGTTTTAATATTGCAAAAGACATTAATTTGTTTTAATTATAGAAGTGTGGTCTTTTTTTGTGTACCTTGTGAACGGTAGAACCTAAGGAACTTAAAACATTCAAACATTCTACGTCTACTTTTCTACTATAAGTTTGTCCTGTAACAGAATAATGCTTCTCGAATCCAGCCATTTGTGTTACTAGTGCATCCAATTGTTTTACTTTTTCACTATCACCTAAAAATTGATACAATAGCGTTAACGTTATATAATAACTAATAATAAATAAATTCAATAATATATACAATATAAAAATAAATAAATTGTTAATTATTCTATTCACAAACTTTCTTAATTTTAAATATAAATATTGACAATAATAAATAAATAATATATTCTAAAAAAAAAAAGATAAATAAATTGCTAATTATCCTATTCGTGATATCATTAATTATTCAAACTTTCTTAATTTGAAATATTGACAATATTATTTTAACTTAAATTTGACTAACCATCAAACAATTGAAGAAATGATGCCTGTGTTCCTGTTGTACCTTTGACACCGCGAAACTTAAGATCATTTTTAGCACGTACAATTGCACGTTCGTCCATCAGTAGATCATGAAGCCAAAGAGAAGCTCTTTTACCGACTGTCGTTAGTTGAGCTGGTTGTAAATGGGTGAAACCCAATGTTGGAAGACTAGCATGTTCTTTGGCAAATTTGCTAAGATTTTCTATGACCTTTGCCAGTTTTGGCAAAAGAATTTCAAACCCGTCACGAAGTAACAGTAGATCCTTAAAAAAAAAAAAGAATTTTTACTATGAATATCACAGAATTAATTAAAAATACAGGATTAGTAATCTCAATATAATTATATTTTAAGAAAAATAAACAAAATATACTTACGGTATTGTCACCAACGTAACAACTAGTAGCACCCAAATGAATGATAGGTGCTGCTTTAGGACATTGTTTACTAAAAACATGCACATGAGCCATAACATCGTGTCTTGTAGCTTTTTCTTCTTTGGCAGCTGCATCAAAATCGATATCATCGATGTGCATCTCCATTTCTTTGATTTGTTCTTGCGTAATAGACAATCCAAGTTTCTGAAACATTAAAATTTTGTATAAATTGTCTGTTCGATTGAATCCTGTGATAGAAGAAGTCTATGATTCAATGCAATCATTTTTCAAAAATTATAAACTATTATATTATGTTGCTTATGTTCGCGCGAACAGAAATATATTTTATAAATCCTAATGTTACAATAAAATAATATTTATTATATATTAGTGTAATAAATTATAATAAATTTATAAAAATAAATATTAAAATAAATCCTATAATCCTATATTCGAACACACACAAAAAAACATTATTATATAATTTATATTAAATTATATTCAATATTATAAAATATATTTTATAAATCCTAATCGCAATAGTTTGCAATTTAAATTAATTTGCAAACGAAATAGTTCTGCAAAGCACGTTGTATAGTAAACCCTATTTAAGAAAAAAAACAATAATAATAATAGTAATAAAAGATATAATTAGCTCATCATTGAACGATCCTATGATTCATTATTCGTAGTATAATAGTTAAGCAATGTTAAAGAAATATTTTTCACGTTATCATATTGAATTAAATAAAGATACAACAGTGCGTAAAAGAAGATACGAATCATACGAATGAGCAGGTGTACCCTACTATTCTTTATCTCGTAGGATATTATCTGATTAGATAAAGTGAGGCTTGGTTTTTCTCCATGAAAAACGTTGAACAGGTTACAACGTTGTTCGTACCCTATTTCATTTATTCTTTCTTCATAACGTGAAAGGTGTGTTATTAAACCAAAACTGGCGTCAAAATGGTGTCCGTAGAAACAATTGCATCTATTACGATAAAAATTCTTAAATTGGTAAGAATAATGCAACCAACAACAACAATAGTTATCAATGAAAACAAAAATTTCATTGGACAGGGATTTTTTTTTATGAAAAATAATTGTCTCAAAGGATTGTTTTCTTTTTTCATCATAGTGCGCGAAAGTGTTTCCTTAAGTGTAAAAAAAAATAATGAATTATTTATTTATTTTTTAAAATTATTAATAGTGAAGTTTTATAGTTAAAAAAAAGTAAATAATTGCACAARWATWTAWTMTA